CATTACCTGAGGACCCAGCTAGGTATCTCCTGGGCATATACCCAAAAGATGCTCCAATGTATTACAAGGACACATGCTGCACTATAGCAGCCTTATTTACAATAGCCAGGAGCTGGAAAGAACCCAGACGTCCTTCAACAGAGGAATGGCTACAGAAAATGTGGTACATTTACACAACAGAGTACTACTCAGCTATTAAAAACAATGAATTCATGAAATTCTTAGGCAAATGAATGGAACTAGAAATTATCATCCTGAGTGAGATAACCCAATCACAAAAGAACACACACGGTATGCACTCACTGATAAGTAGATATTAGCCCAAAAGCTCACAATATCTAAGATACAACTCACAGACCACATGAAGCTCAAGAAGAAGGAAGATCAGTGTGGGTGCTTTGGTCTTTCTTAGGAGTAACAAAATACTCATGGGAGCAAGTAGGGAGACAAAGTGTGGAGCAGAGACTGAAGGAGGGGCCGTCTGGAGACTGCCCTACCTGCAGATCCATCCCATGTGCAGACACTAAATGCAAGCACTGTTGTGAATGCCAGGAAGTGCTTGCTGACCAGAGCCTGATATACCTGTCTCCTGAGAGGCTCTGCCAGAGGTTGATGCTCGCAGTTAACCACTGAACTGATCATGGGGTCTCCAATGGAGGAGGGAGAAACTATACTGAAGGAGCTGAAGGAGCTTGTGGCCTCATTGTAAGAGTAATAATACCAGCCAACCAGAGCTCCCAGGGTCTAAACTGCCAGCCTGGGAACACGCTTGAAGGGACCCATGGCTCCAGCTGTATATGCAGTGGAGGATGGCCTTGTCAGATATTAGTTAGAGAAGAGGTCCTTGGTCCCGTGAAGGCTGGATGCCTCAATGTGGGGGAATTCGAGGGCAGGGAGGGGGGAGTGGTTTGAGGGCAGGGAGGGGGAAGTGGGGGCACACCCTCATAGATCAGGAGAGGGAATGGGATAAGGGGTTTCTGGGGGAAGGGAATGGGGAAAGAGGGTAACATCTGAAATGTAAATAAATAAAATATCCAATAAAAAATGAGAAAAATGTTAAGGTATAAAGAATGAAACAATGAGTACCCACACATCCACCATTTAATCCAGAAGAAAGGCAATATCATATCATTATGTTGAAAATTCCTGTGTGGCCCTTCCTTGTCTGATCCCCATATTCCGTCATTCAAAACGTCTAGTATCATCCTGAATTTTATGTCTACCATGTTCTTACTTTCATAAAAATTCATTTTACCACATTTAATTCTGAAGAACACTGTTTAGGTAGTAATCTGGGCACTAAAAATACATGGAATCTACTTTTGACATTCTTCTATAACTTTCGAATTTTCCCATTCATTATGACATTCCTGAGATCTATCCGTGTGGTAACCGGCAGTTGTGACCAATGTATTCTTTACTGTATAGTATGGCTGAATTTTAATTAATTTTTGCTTGATGCATATAAGCTCCCATGATTATCTAGACTGATCCATGCCCATGTGACTCACCCACTAATTTTCACCTAGTAGGAACCTATTTTTCTGGGTATTTTATTTTTATTTACTCGGGAAAGGGAGGTTTCAATACATAGCCTATGCTGGCTCAGGCTGGCCTAGAATTTATATAATCCCTCTGCCTCAGCCTCTCAAGTGCTACAATTATAGTCTGGCTTTTCTGAACATTTTAAAACCAGAAACACTTGCTTCTCTTTAGACCGCTCAACTCTTTAACCAAAATTAAGTATTCTTTTTTTTTCCTCTCTGTTTTATTTTCTTTGCTTATTTTTAGGTTAATTATTCTTAATAGGAAGTTTTGACATCTAAAATGCTCCATGCTCCAAATCTTTTTAAGCATCATGCTACTGCTCAGAAAATTTCATATTTCAAATTGTCAGATCAAGGATGCTTAACCAATAAAGTCTGTGAAAGCATCTCCAAGCCTGAGCAACTCTAAAATGTGAAGTATTCCTAGTTCCAAGTAGTCCTAATGAACTAAGACAGACACATACAGAGCATCTGTCATACAACAATAAATAAAGACAATCCCCCAAGGATTCTGAAGAGGCCACCTCCTATAGTCAGGCAGAACTCCCAGTGGACGGATGGGGACACCGACCTACCCACAAAATTTTCAACCCAAAATTTATCCTGTCTAAAACAGATTCAGGGATGGGGGATGGAACAGAGACTGGAGGAACTGACAATCAATAACTGGCCCAACTTGAGACCCATCCCATGGACAAGCACCAATCCTGCAACTATTAATGATACTCTGGTTATGCTTGCAGACAGGAGCCTAGCATGGCTGTCCTCTGAGAGGTTCCACCCAGCAGCTGACTAAAACAGATTCAGATATCCACAGCTAAACATTGGATGAAGGTTGGGACTCTTGTGGAGGAGTTGAGGGAAGAATTAAAGGCCTTAAAAGGGATAAGAACTCCACACGAAGACCAACAGAGTAACCTGAGACCTTGGGAGCTCTCAAGAGATTGAACTACGAACCAAACAACATTGCACAGGCTGAACCTAGACCTCCCCGCTCATATGTAGATGTGCAGCTTAGACTCCAGTAGGTCCCCCAACAACTGGAGGCTGTCCCTAAAGCTCTTCCCTGTCTGGGAAATCTGTTCCCAACAGAGTTGCCTTGTCTGGTCTCAGTGGGAGAGGACGTGCCTAACCCTGCAGAGACTTGATTCACCAGGGTGGGAGATACTTAGGGTGGCCCCATCCTCTCAGAGGAGGGGGAAAGGAGAACAGACTCTCTCAGGTGGGACCAGAATCATGGGCAGCAACTGGGATGTTAAAAAAAGAGAGACACAAAAGGATGTGTGCACAATAATGACAGGTGGAACTGGAGACTCCAAGGTAGTGAGGAACAGCCTCATATGAGTAGCCAACAATGTCAATGGTGAGGTCCTAGCCTGTGCTGCCACAAAGGGCCATATATGGGTCCATGGCCCTGTATCAGTAGGTCTGATACCACCAAAGGCCAGGCGGATATCCCTGGTCTGGACTACCACCAAGAGCCGTGTTGATATCTGTGGTGGTTTGAATAGATATGTATGGTCCCCGTAGACTCATGTGTTTGAATGATTGACACAAGGAGATGGCACTATTAGGAGATGTGGCCTAGTTGGACTGGTTATGGCCTTGTTGGAAGGAATGTGTCAGACAGGATTTAAGGTCTCTTATGGTCATGCTATGCCTTCAGTTCAAGATGTAGAACTCTCCAGCATCATGTTTGCCTGTACTCTGCCATGTTTCCTGCCATGATGGTAGTGTGCCAGAAGCCAGGACCCTCACCCTTACCCTCACCCCCTACATTTCCCCACTTGCACAATGTCCCCTGCAGCTTGGCAACCACAAGATCCTGCCTGGCAGCTGCAGATAGACTCAAAGCAGTGTACCATATCATCTGAAGAATAGCAGGGAGACCATAACTCAAAGCAGTGTACCATATCTTCTGAAGAATAGCAGGTAGATCATAATTCAAGGCAGTGTACCGTATAGACCATGACATGTTTCAAGGCACAGGCCAAGAAGATTCTGTACTTTTCCACCACCTGGCCCCCCTCTTACCCCCTCCCCTTGTAAAGCATGTTATAAAAAAGCATTTCATGTTCAAATACATGACTCTTGACAAGCAAATGTTTGCTTGAGTCCTTTCCCTCTCTCGCCCATTCTTCTTTCAGGTTGCGGTCCTCCTCGCCCCCACGAATAACTAGGACCTGCCAATTGGGTCAGTAGTGGACTAAAACTATGAAATTGTAAGCCAGCCCCAATTAAATGTATTTCTTTGTAAGAAAAAAAGACAACCTCTAGCCTCAAAGTAGTTTTGAAAAAGACCACTAACTGAACATAAAACACTGATACAATGCAAAGAAGCTTCAGATGAACAAGACTCCAACTGAGGCTTGACCCTCACTTCATATAGGTAGGTGTCCACTCAAATGTTACATTGAGGGATATATGCTCAAAGTACATTATATACTTGCATGAAGATGATCTTATGTAACCCTGCATAGAAAAACTTCTGAGTACCTTTCCACTCTACTTCTGGATTAAGTTGCTACTAAATCACTTGTTAATTGATTATTACTATGTATGTGTGTGTATGAAGAGGGGATATGTGCAGTGGGACATGTGTAGTTGTCAGAGGACAACTCCTTCTACTTTTAGGTGAGTTCCAAGGATCAAACTCAAGTAGCCAGGCTTTTATGATAAGCACCTTTAGAAAGTAAACCATCTTACTGACCCTTAAACTAAATCACTATGGGTAATTACTGTTGGTAAAAATTTTTTAGTAACTTGGGACAATGATCATAAATTTGTTTTTTATTTGTATTTTCTTTGTTGAGTTTATCTATCCTTAATAAAAATTAATCTTTTAGTAACTTAGGACAATGATCAAAAATTTTTTTATTTATAATATCCTCGTTTAGTTTATCTATCCCTAATAAAAAGTATGTGTTTTATTTGAAAATATTGTGTTGTGTGGTAACATATACCTATTATTTCAACACTGTAGAAGCAGAGGTAGAATGATCAGTTCAAAGCCATGAGAAATTGGTTTTGGAGACTCCGTATCCAAAACAAAATTGGTAAGCTCCAATAATGAGAGATAGTGAGCAGGTACCCACACACAATGCAATCACTTCAATCCAGAGCTAGACATGGTTTATCAAAAGAAAAAGGATAATTTCAGAGGGAATAAAGAAGAGAAAAATAGAATTGTGGCTTTAAGGAGAAAATGCTGAACATATAATCTTGGCAAATATAAGTCCTATATATGTTACCAATCAATGAACTTATAAATGGTCCTTCATCTATCCAGAAGATACATAAGCATGTAGCGCATACCACAAAGGTAGGCATTTGTCTTGCTCACCCCTTCTTGTTGGTCGTGCTTTTGGCAGAGCAGAAGTCACAATGTTGGATGGAACCAAACTAAGTTTGACTGTTAACCATCAGAGTTCTGGCAAAGGAAATAATGCTTACTTGGATTTCACAGGAGAAGACAACCTCTTGGAAATGTCTTCAGGAGGCTCGCATTTTCTCAGTGGGGACCCAAGACCTCCAGAGGAAACAGTAGTTCCCACTCGTCCCTTCTTCACTTTCTCCATCTGTAAGGGACAAAGATATGATAGCCACAGCTCATGACTGGTACTACTTCTATAATCTGAAAAACTACCCTAGATCAGAGTGACAGTTTTCTTACGTAGGTATCAATACAAAGGCCTAATGTTTCATGTAACATGAATCTTTGTAGAGATTTATGATACCATGAAATCATTATATTTAGGTCATCAAGTTGGCTCAGTAATTTGTGCTTAAACGTGGAGATTCTCTGCCTCTCATTTTGTTATCTTACCAAAAGGTAACAAACAGCATAACCATATTGTGGCCCTAAACATGTAGGAACTGGAAAGAGTACAAAAACATGCACTTGTAGCTCAGAAGTCTCTAGGCCCTATGTCTGAAGTGCATGATATTTTCAGCAATGGGAACTTATCTTCCACCTCTGGGGGCAACTAAGGCAAAGAGCAATAGCCTATATTTTGAGTGTTTCTTGGACAACACTGACTAACAACTCAAAAGAGGACTTCCCATACTTGGTCATGTACTTAGGAATTACTAATATATATTCATATATATTCATATATATGATGCATATACATATATACACCATATATACACATACACACACACACACACATATATGTAACAATAATTAATGTAAAAAATCATGAATTTGAAAGAGAGCAAGGAGAAGTATACGGGAGGGCTTGGAGGGAAGAAAGAGAAGGTGGAAATGATGTAATTATAATGTAAATTAATTTTAAAAATTAAAGTCAAACAAACAAGAACATACACTTGTATGTATACACTTGCTTTTGAACTACAAAAGCTTTACCAGAAGAAGATGACTTTAATATCCAAGTTGCTGTGTTGTAAACTTGGAGGCATGCATGGTATAATGCAGACTGCAAACCACACATGTCTCTATTTTCCCCCTTACCTCTCTTGGCAGAAAGGAATGGACATCACTGACTGGCCTGAAGAAAGAGCCCCACCCTCCTTCCTTACTACACTTTTCTGTAACAAGTCCTCATTTGGTCCCCAGAAATGGCAACCTTGTTCCACAAATAACCCACCTTACAGAAAATCTAAGAGTCAGAAATACTAGCTCCTATTTTAACTATCTCAGGGCAAACATGAATTAAAAAAAATATATGTTTTTACAAAGTGTTCAACAGAGCTAAGGATATAAGATAGTGGTAGACTACTTATGTAACATGTAAGTTTCTGGATTTGCTCTCCAAGACTACAACAATAAAAATAATAAATAATGAATAAATCTAAAAGGTTTAATAGTATTGTAGTAGTTTTAACATAAATTTTATGTATTAACAATTGATACATAATCACCACAATTGATTATATATATATTGATTCCTTCAACAGGTGGCACTCAACCCCCTTCCTATTGAATAGCAGATCTTAGGGTTAATTCACAAGTTGGGGATTAAAGGCATTACAGCTTCCCACTTATAACCTGTCTCTTGGACGGTTTGCTCTGAGAGAAGTCAGCCATTTTGTACTCACAAGTAGGTTTTTGGAGAGGCTTATGGAGTGAGGAACTAAGGCTGTCACTCCTTCAGTAGCCCTGTAATGAAATTCTCACAAGAGGCCCAGTCAGGCCTTCAGAGGACATAACCGTGGCCAGCATTTTGACAAAATCCCCATGAAATTCTGTACCATAACTGTGGCCAGCATTTTGACAAAATCCCCATGAAATCCTGTACCAAAACTACCAAGATCTTAATTGAGCTACCTTCAATTTAAAACCCAAGGAACTTAGGAGTGAAGACATATTTGCAGCAAATGATAACACAAATAATATGGCATATATAACTTCTTAATAAAAACATAAAATCGCTTAACAGTCACTTCATTAACAATGTCCATATGATACAAAAAAAAAACATTCAAAGGCTATTGTGAATGAAGTTTGACCTGGAACCTCAGTTTAAGTTGTACATATAGGCAAGAGTCCTAGAAGCAGGTAGCCTGAGGAAGCAGAATGGATCCCTGCAACACTCCTTTTGACTCATGTCCCCTGGAAGAAAGGCTGTTATTATCACAACAATATCATTGGGAATTTGCTACAAGGCATTAAGGTTTAGGGGAATGCAAAAACGTTTGATAATTTTCCAAAGTTTGGTAAAAACTTAATCAAATGCATCCTTTGAACAGTCCCTGAAGATAGATGGACAAAACAGAGACCCCAGGTCAATGGTAAAAACAATAGCACTGTCAGACAAACTATAGCCTGAGGAAAAACATTTAAACTTACCTGTGAAGGCTCTCCTCCTGCCATGGCTCCCTTCCCAGGATCTCCCACACCAGATATAGGTGTAGTCTTCTTTTTCTCAGTGGTCCGGGTTGGAGAGGACTTATATGAAGATTTGAGAGGGCTCCCGAGAGCTACATGAGGACAGGCACGGAATACTAGAGAGTTACAGTACAATAACCAGAAAATAAGGGATGCACACATGAAAAAAACAGGAAAATCGCGAGTTGAAAAGAACTGAATACTTTAAAACTGTAATGTGTAATCCACATTTTAAAAATATGTTTTTTTCTACTGTATATAGATAACATCTCATCTTAAATACTACTCGACAGTCATGTTCATTTGAGTGGTCAATGTACTTTGGAGCTAAGCAGACTTTGCCCTGCCATCTGATAGCTCAATATCCTTGGACAGGCTACTTAGTATCTCTAATCCTCAACCACCTTATACAGGCAGAACACAGAAGTCTTGACTGCTGTCTTTGCAGGTCTGCTTACAAGGCTGAACTTTGGTCAGTATCTAGGAGCTTAGATTTTAGGAAGGTTTATGCCATTCACTGGTGAGTGATTAAAAAAAAACTGCAAACCCCATTTGTGCAAATAACAGATTCTAAGTGTGTGAAGTTTGAATATTTGCTTGGTAAAGGGTGCCTATATGACTAGTCCCTGGTAAAAACCCAGGGCACTAAATCTTTAGGGTGTTTCCCCAGTCGGCAACACTATGTGTATTGTTATATGAAACATCCTGCATGACTCTTCTAGTAGACCCAGTTTCCTCTGTACTTTTCATGCACTCTTCCCTTTGCTAACTTGGTTGGGTACCTTGCTACTATAAGTAGTCACAGCCAGAAGCTATGAGTCCTCTGAGTTCTACTGATGAATCACCAAACCCTAGTGTTCGTGGGGGCCTTAGTAACAACTGACATCAGAGGTGGGAATTGCTACAATGACCCCAATTCATAAAAATAAAGTAAAAACAATGTTTGGGAAAGGGGGGGAGAGGAGTGAACCTGTGGTGCTGTGTGGCTACAGTGTAGTTGGCCATGGCATGAAACAGCTAAGATATTCTCTGTTGTGAGATGTGAAAAGTTGCCTACAGAATTTGAAGATAACTACTGCAATTCCAAGAGTGTTGCCTCAGGGGATTCCTTGGCTACTTTTGGCTATTCTACCTAAACTGAGGTAAAAAAAAATCAGTCAGGGAGTGGTTTTAGTTTTCTCCTTCAGTGGAAATGGTGTGTGTGTGGGGGAGAACCAACCTTTTCTTGTTTTTGTCATCAGTGGGTGGGTTGGAGCTAAGTATTGAAACCAAAAAAAGTTTTAAACTAATGCTTTGGGTTTTTTTTACACTATAATTTTTGTCTAAAAAATAGAGACTGAAAAAGACCTGAAAAGAAGAAATTTCTGGAAGAGATATACATTGGAATTTTAAAAATTCAAATAGATACTGCTACAAATGCATCCATTCTTTGTTCTCTAAACTGTGAAACATCTTCAATACTGCTGGAACTCCTGAGTTACATGTAAATGTCCACAGGACAGGGTCTCTGAAGGCACCACCCCAAAAAAATCCAAGCCAGTCTTCAATGCTTTAATCCTGATGCAGAACCTATGTACATTCTTTGCAAAAGGTTGTCAAAGCACATCATTACTGTTTTCTGTTTGATTTTTAAACGTACTTGTGGCTTGTAACAATGGACTACGGCCTGACTCTACTTACTTTACCTTTTCCTAGTATCTAAGATAAGTTCTTTGAAAATTTAGGATTTGACTCTGAATAATCTGTAAACATGATATATCTTTCTGATTAAGCTGATTTAAATTTTTCTATATTTTCTTCCCCTCTTCTTCTCCCACCCATAATGATGTTCTGTCCATTTTAAAAAGAGGCTAGTGCAAATGTAGTGAATAATTGAGAAATCAAGTTTTGGATGAATAGAATACAAAGAAAAACAAAAGTCTGCTTATGGTGGCATGGGGGATATTTTCACAAACATATTTATAATCTTTTCTTCCAGAATTGCTCTAAGAAGTTCTCTTCTTCCAGAGGAAACTTCCTACAATGCCTTTGCAAGCTACTGTGTGCAGAGTTTTCTGGGTCTAGACTGTACATAATTGAGTGTTATTAAGAAAACTGTGTGGGTCATTTTTTGGTATACTGCCATTACAGCACATTAATATACTGTCCACACTCACCAGGTAGATAGGCCAGTGTCACCAACAGAAGGGGACTTTGGGATTGATAGCATCAGGCAGTCTTTCTGGAATCACAGACTGAAATGAATGACTCTCACTGTACTAAGCACCCTGGGGCAACTACGGTGTTGGAAAACTACAGTAGGAGTTCACATGGGGGAGTTCATATGGGGGAGTTCGCCTCTTGATCAGTGAAATCTCCTGCTCCGAGTGCCTTGAAATCCTTACCTTCTCATTTTCCATAGGAACCCATGAGCCATCAAGGATTGTACATGCCTCTAACATTGTAACACTGCCTTGGACCTGAATTGAAGGTGGTCAGGAAGCTTCTAATTACTAGCCAAAGCTGAGCTGGGGTCAGGTGAAAAAAGATTCAGAAGGAACAAGGAAGCAACATGGCTGCCTAAGACAGACCTTTAAGGTTAGTGGGATTCAATTCTACTTTTAAGCCTAGGTTATCTAAAGGTTACATTTAAGATCAATGCCACAGGTTGGCCTTATCCTGTTGTGTGGGGTACCAATGGTTAAGCACATGGCAATGGGTTAAGAGTATAGACTATTCGTGTTCAGATTTGACTGCTGGCTTGGGAAAAGCCAGGTTCTAGGGTGGGTCTCTGAACAATGCCTGGGAATGTAAGACTTTATCAAGGATCCCATCATTAGCTGGTGAGTGAATAATCTGTTGTGCCTTAACTGTATGTAAAAACAATCTGAATATCCACTTTCATTTCAAGAGTACAAAATCTTGATACATATTGAGCAATGAGTTCACATGGTTACATCTCTGAAAAAAAAATCAGCATCAAATATCTAACAAACTTCCCTGGGTAGCAGTTCATTCTTGTCTTGACTCATTTCAGTAAACACATCCTGACTGATTACTGGAGAGACTCTGGAAGTAATCACTGGAAGTTTGTGCCTTTTCTTTCCTAGACTTTGTCCTTTTTCCTCTTGATGGATTTTGTTGTATATCCTTTCGTCATAATAAATAAAAGGAGTGAGTATACCTGTATACTGAACCTTCTGAGCAAATCTGAGGAATCTCTGAAATATTTCTACTTCTAAGATAAAGGATACTTCCTATTGGCTAAAAATTTAGGGTTATTGTTGAGGTAGAATCAGCACATCATATAATTTTCCCCCTTTAAATGTCCAGTTCATTGATTTTAGTATATTCACAATCATAACCAAATTACAAATCATTTTAAGGCTCTCAAATGAAACCTTTTATCCATCAAGCAGTCACTAACCTTTCTTCCCTTCCCTCCATGCCAAGCATTAATCTACTTTCTGTCTCTAGGATTTACCTATTTCAGACATTTTATATAAGCAAAACCATATAATTCATGACATTTGTGACTTCCCTCTTACTTGGAATAGCTTCAAACTTCATCTACTAGGTATCACTATCAGCATGACTTTCTTATTTAAAGCTGAACAATACTCTACTTTATAGAAATGCTTCATTTTGTTTATCCATTCAAGTTGCTACTGTGAATAATGTTGCAGAATTAAAATAAAAGAAAATAATGTTTAAATAAGATAGTGAATGATGGCATTTAACATTTTGCTGACAGAACAACTGTGGAAATAAAAATAATTTTAACGAAGAATGTTTTTGGAGTTTGTCCCAGTAAAATTAAACAAATAAAACATCACTCAAGAGTTTAGGAGAGTTCATTCATCTTCTTGTGGCATCAGAATTAATTCAACACACTATTATCTGAGCTACACAGGTGAGCTATAGGTGTGTAATAGTACACACCTATAATCACAGCATTTGAGGACTGAAGCAGGAGAATCCTAATTTGATGCTAGCCTGAGCTACACAGTAAGAACATGTCTCAAAAACAAAATAAAGCAAAACAAACAAAAAGCAAGCACAGTGATCTGTATTAGACGAAGAGAATTAATCCCACTTCCAAAATTTATATAGACTCACTTACTAAATACACTTAACACTGGAAAAACAAAATTATTCCTAACTTTACTAATTTTAAATTAATTTTATACTTTCTTAGAGGCCTGCTCTTTTCCAAAGATAAATGGAAGGGGAGTGGATCTAGGGGAGAGAGGAGGAGAGGTGCTGAGAGGAACAGAAGGAGGGGAAACTGTGGTTGGAATGTATTATGAGAGAAAAATGTATTTTCAATAAAAATTTTAAAAGTTTTAAAAATATATAAAAAAATTAAAACGCTGATTTTTTTTTAAAAAAATGAAATGTGTCTACATATAACCATAGAAAAAGAAGTGCTTTCCTATCTTTTAAATATTTTAAGTAAGGGCAAAATTACACCAATGACACAAAAATAACAGCCAACCAATTTTTGGCTTTAATGGAAGACAGTAGGTAGGATTCATAATCCAAAATTCATTGACCCCTGGATGTTATGATTTACACCTAGCATTTGGAAGTGGAAGTAGTAATATCAGGAGTTCAACGCCATCCTCGACCATAGAATGAGATGCTGCTTCAAAAAGAAAAGAAAAATAACAAAATCTCAAAAACATTAGAAGAAAAAATAAAATTCAACAACTAAAATGTTTTGATTTAGGGATTTAACATAAGACAATAGATGTTTAGATGCCTATTTAGTAAATGGTATGGAGAGTAAAACTTTTCAATTTAGAATATACACAAGCAGATAATTGAGTTGTCAATCATGAAATGGCATGTTTATGTTTGCATGTTAATCAATGCAAAACACAAATTTAAGATCAACCTATAACCACCTGATCTAATGAATATGTGGAATATGTTCCCTAAAGGAATAGCCATAGTGTTAAAAGTGTTAAGTATTTTCTCTTCAAACTCTTCCTTCCTTCCATGTTTCGAGTGACTACTCATTAATGGACATCAGAAATCAGCAGCATTATGACACTTCTGGGAACTCTACTACATACATCATGCCTCTGCGATGTAGGGATAAAATCAATGCCAGTGAGTATGGCCTACCAGCCTCTTCCAAGTCACAAATCTCTTCTTGCTCACCCCTTGGTGATGACCTGACAACCTCAACAGTCTTCTAGTACCTGACTTTCCTTCATCTGTGCTTTAGGATATTCATGTTACATAAGAAGAGACCTCTCTTTCTTAACCTATGTACAGTAAAAGGCAAAACTTCAGGCCTCCAGTGACTCTTCCAAGCCTTCATTAGAACACAGATGCTGTTAAGTCTACTTAGGTTCTGAAAGTAGTGGATGCCCATCTACATATACAGTCTTCTAAAACAAAATATTGCCTTAAAAGGTTGTTCATGTTTTTCCTTTTTTTCAAAAGCATCCACTTATTTCTGTATTTTTGTTTTCATTTATAAAATAGGCAGGCCTACAAACCATAAATGACTTCACAGTGTTTTTTTTTTCTGTTATCAAGTCCTCCAGATAACTCTGACTAATCAATTCTCCTATAGCTAATCAATTATATCACTGACCTAGCAGGTATTTTAAAAAACAAAACAAAACCACTCTATGCCTGTGGAATATGTTCTTGCAGATTAGAAGACTATCAATTCCTATCAATTAATAATGATCTTTCTTTATGGAACAATACTACTTTCCAAAGCCCTGTTAGCCAAACCCTAGAGGTTAGGACAGTGGTTAAGATTTACAGAAGGCTTGAAAGGAGACGTTCACAAAGGGCAATGTTCGTCGCTCACACCAGAAAGAAGCAAACTGGAGAGACAAGGTCTACCCATTCACTTGCCTCGGTCTGGGGAATAAGATATTGCCACGGTGGATGAAGACAGGTGTTTACTCATAGGAGGTTCCGTCTGCTTTGGCAAATTCATGGTTGATGTTGAAAGTTTGTCAAATGCTGCAGAGAAATGCATTAAAGACATTGGTTTTCTATCACTATCGCCTGTAAAATCATATCTCAAAGTGTCCTTCCTGTCCTTATCCATACACATTAGTGGTACTCCACTGCAGCACACCATACTGCTTCTATTATCTTAATCTGGAAATGTCCAGGCTATAGCAGCCACTGGTTTGCAATTTCTTCACTATGTTCTTCTCTTTCATTTAAATGTTCAAACTCATTCAAATACTCAGTTTAAAACATGCTAATCCCATCTAGTTTCTTGTGTCCAGAGACTTTTAAACATATTCACATCAAACAAAACAAAACTAACCTAGACCAAGGGACAACAGTTCTTAGAAATATCTAACACCTTGACTAAAACTGTACGTGCTGAAATAGAACATTTCCTAAAGGTTATTTGAGGCTCAGGTTGGAAAAAGAATGTTATTTGTAATGCAAGGAGTTTCTGTTTAAAGTAGCACTAACTTTAGCAGTTGCAGATTTTCTTCCTATTTTTAAAAGAAAGCATCAAAATGGCTCCTCTGCAAATGCTTTAACAGTATAGTAAGAATTTAAATATCTGACCCTAGATTTGGTGTTCTTACATTTCAGTCATTGTTTTAGATTGGCTTTTGAATTAAATCATTATGACCAAAAGAAAAGCACTGGCAGTGCCCTGTGAAGCTATGTTAGAACCTGAGGCAAAGGTAAAGCTACACATACATTCCTATCAAAAAAGCTAACTCCTAATATTTTCAAAACTTAACTCATGTTTTCAAATGAGAGAATTCCTCATATCTGACAATTTCTTCTGACAAAGTGGCAATCTTAACTAATTTTAATTAAGCTAAAATCAAAGTATAACACATTTTAATTGAGTATATATAAAATACTTATACTTAAAATGATGTCTTGGATTTTAACACTCCTACTCTTCAATTTTTAACAATATTTTAATTTTCTGGAAAAATAACCAAGGAATATAACTGCATAGGTTTTCTTTTTTGCCTCAGACTCTGATATGGCTTGGCATAGCACTAGTATCTAGAAATTCTATGTTTGATTTGGGGATGTTGCTTAGTAGTAGAGTACTTGCTTAGCACAGGCAATGCCATGAGTTCCCTGGGGAAACAGGAGAGAGAAAGGGAGGAGAAGTGGAAGGCAATTCATTATTTTGTTTAACATGGATTGTTCTGTGGTTTAATTTTTATAAATACAGCATTAAAATATTATCTTATGTTACTATTTTTGCATTCATTTAGGTTGTATGTCTGAGTCACTCACTTCACCTTGTTACTAGCTTTACTATGAGGAAGACCAAGTCTCAATCTATTAAGCAAAATCTGTGCTACTTAGCACTACCAATAAGTATATTCTGTGTCAAAGGAAAATGAGAAATCAAAGATATTTATTCCTACTATTAAAATGCCTCTCTATATTGCTCATAAATATCACATCCCTTCTATATCTCATTTTCAGTTTACCAGTCAAATACACAGCATTTCTCAAGTCATTATTAAATGAAAACAAAGTTTTGCTAGTTCTGTTCTTAATCTAGACCATAAAAATGTTTCATGTTTCTATTTTTCAATGTATTGTATTTTTAAATAGAGAGATAGAGTCTGACACAAAGCCAAATTGTTTAGTTATGAAGTATCACTGCCTCTCAAACACTTCTCCAGAAATTCATTACATTAACCAAGCCTAAGTATTCTATTCAGAAATCTGTGTGACTTCTACTCAGAATCTGTGTGATTTCTGTTTTTTCACCAGAAGTAAAGAAAGTACTTTGCTATTTAAAAAGTGAAACAAGATGACTAATGAGACTGCTAAATTCTAAATGCACAAAAGTCAAATATTGATGAGATTTTTTTATAGGGAGAAGTTAGCGAGCTGAGGATGAAATGTCTCCAGGACACTAAGATATAAGGCATGCAGCTCTGTGATGACAAAGGAACAAAATCATATGGGTATGTCGTTCACACCTCTAGGGGGAAGAGTCATGACAAGTCAGACCAAGAAATCAATTGTGAAAATGATTTCACTTTTGAGTGACTTCACAATTGAGACAGACACAGTGATGGAGGAGGGTGATCAGGACAGTTGTCACAGAACACTATGGCATGGTGATGTTCATGTATACCGTTGGTGGATTCGGCAGCAGCTGTAGTGGTCCCTGTGTCCGAAGGGGGGGTGCTGGTTGCTAAAGTTAGAGGAAGGGGTGGGGTATTTTCTGATTCACCTACACAGAAAGAAAATCAGAGCAAAGAGAGGTAAAAGAAAAAGTTCCAATTTGTTGCTACATTTTAGTTTTTAATAAAGAAATTAGAAAAGTAACAAAAGAAGTATTGTCTTTTCAAAAGAAAAAAAGTGCATCCACTGCCAAATGGTTAAAAATCACAAGATGGCAAAGTCAAGAGACAGTAATTTACACATCTGCTCTCAGAAAGAGGTAGTATACAACTCCTGTATAGTAGAATACTGAGATCACTGAAATAAACTATGACATTGAAAAGAGAGGAAAGTCATCCTGATAGTAGTAATAATCCATAAATTAGGCCTTTGAAAATTTAAAGATGATTATGAATTAGATAATGAAATAAATAAGTTGCTTTAAAATAAAATCAGAGCAACAAATCAAAATAAAAAAAGAAAGGAAGGAAAAGAAAAGAAAACACCCAGCCCTTCTTAGAGAGTAACTGCTACTTTTCCAGGCACATCTAGAGCTGTGACTGTGCCTCCTGCCATTTCCCTCTCCTAAAATGAAACTGTTTTTGGACCTGTGTGCTTAGTCCAGCTACCCGGCTCTATATTTATTTTCTTTGATTTTCTTTTGCTCTTCCCTAAAGCCCAGTATTCATGCTTCAAGTATCTGATAGCAAAAAGAAATGACAGTTCTCCTTTATGAGAAATGTATACACATACAGGAAGCATAGCGATTTAAGCATCTTAAAAGGTGCCTGTAAAGGTACAGGATTTTCCAATCCCGCAGACATCCAGTCATGCCCGTGATCTCCCACAGGGCCCTGCATTGCAGAGATAGCATTAGACTCACCATCACGTCCTCCGGGCCCCGGAGCTGGTGATCCTGCCCATGAACACTTCTTCTTCAGCTCTAGCTGCTGTGTACGCTCCAGGGACCGGCGCATCATTGCTTCCAGGCGTTCCTGCCCAATTTACAAAAAGTGTAGAACGTTAACAGAAACAGTATGAACCATTTAGCTGCACTGCACTGCTGCCTTAGTGTTCTAGAAGAGTCACCAAATGGGCCTTTCTGTGCTCAGCATCCCAAACCCAGGCACATGTGCTTTCTTCACCACACCAATGCCTTTTGCTGGGATGGAGAGTAAACAATATAGCTAGGCTAGTGCAGGTTCTCCAATCACAGACTGTGAACACTGTGTCCTGTTCTGTCTATCCCCTCCCCTCTCCTCCCTGGGGAGACACTGTTGCTATGCCAGCTCCATTTGCTTATGAATAATGCTCAATAAGCATTAACTCTTTCAAGCCTGTCTTAAGTCTGCTTAAGAAATGAAATTTGATCCTGGTACCAAATATAGCCTTTCTAATGGAAAGCATAACCTATTCCCGATTTGAGGACATTTAAATTAAAGTATAATTTGAAAATCTGCAGCCTTGTATATAACTTTTAAGGACAGCATTTGATTTTGAAGCCTATTTTGTAAAGACCCATTTTCATCTTTGGACTCTGTTTCAACATTATAATAATTTTCTGCTCATATTACTCTTAAGAAAATGCTGCATAGTCCAAGATTTGACAAAGGTACAGAAACTTCTGACTACAAAATAAAACACCTATGCCTTGCCACAATTAGGTGTATGTGTGTAGGTGCGGGTGGGTGGGTTGGTGGGTGGCAGGGACTAAGTAATTTTTAATTAGGAAACAAAAACAGTCACTGGGCTTCTCTCCAAAAGGAGGATTTATCAGACTATCCATATTAGTCAACGCATTACTTTCATAAAGTTGTCCTTGACAGTGAATTGAAGGTGTTTTAATTCTGCACATTCACTATCTCAATGGCAATGCAAAATACTAGTTCTTCTCCTTGCTTCTACTAGAGAAGCCTAAGGTAAGGGTGGTCATTACATTGCAGTGCTCTGGGAGTAGATTAACCCTACTGGATTCCAAAATATGTAGCTAGAATTTTTGGTGGCTCATAAAAACATGCAAAAAATTAATTTTGGGCTACAAGAACTAAGGAAGCATGAATTAAAACATTAGTGTTCTAGTTTGAAGTCAAGCACTCTCCAATCCAATCATAAGTGTACATTTCTTGGATGTCCTATCCTAATGACCTTGAATCATAGTGTACTGGTGGTCTTCCAGATAATAGTTGGAACTAGGAGGGAATAAAACTTTACAACACTGAATGAGTGAAATATGGTCACCTGAGACTTAGACTAAATAGTATTTTATTACATGAATTTAAACAAAAAGTACTTAACTAGCAGCCTAATTTGTTTTAAACACTTCACCCTAGAATAAATTCAATTCAGGATAAGTTTTGGTAGATTTTCTACATGTCAAAAGGACCAGAAGTATAGATATCTTAAGATAGTTACTAATATATTAAGGGACACAGAACAAAGACAACTGAAGCTAGCCTTATTACTGAGCAGCTATAATTCTGAGGAGGCAGAATTATAAAGAACCACTTGCTCTCCTAAAGCCAGACATACCTCTGGGAAACTTAGGAAGAAAAAAAACACAACTTGAGAAAATCTATTCATGCTAACCACCCTCAATTTCCCAAGTGGCTCCAGATTACAACACTGGGGGCTTGTTCCTTTGTATTTTGAGTAGACTTGTGATCCACTTTTTAGCCTTCTGACCATTTTACATTTCTGCCCTTCAATTTCCTCACCTATAAAATGAGGATACTATTATTTATGCCGCCATCTTATACAAGGTTAATTACTATATCTAGTAGTACCTGAGGTAGTTAACTCTTTTACTAGTGCTAAATGAATCTGAATTTTAAGGAAGATTTTTAAAAACCGCTTAGAACAGTCACTTTCAAACTTTAGTGTGGATACATCAGAACACCTCCCCCAAAGGATTTGGGAGTTATTCGTAGGATTGCTCAGTAATCTAGGGTAGTGGATTCTTATATTTATTTCTGGCAGTACTGGGGATTAGAACTCAAGCCCTTGCACATGTTAAGCAAGAACTGAACTATACCTAACCCAAGAGTTTACATTTTTAGCTAGTTTTCAGGTGCTGCTGCTAGTTGGACCACAGAACCACTGTTTACTTAAAGAGAAAAGGTTGAGAATGAGAAAGCAAGGGAAAGAAAGTTTAGTTACACTAGAAAAACAGTATAAATACTGGAACTGCATTGTGCCTACTAAACTGTGGTCCTCCCGAGTACCATTGGTGACCAATAGAGGTTGGGAAATGGCAAGGCATATTCTTGTCCCTTCAGTACTTGTGTGGACTTAGAAGAAAAACAGAGGAAGGTAATCTTAACCCCTAATCCCTTTAGTTCAGGCTATGTCTACACATAACTAGATTGACTAGACAAGTCTGGAAAACTGTGATAAACAGTGACCACTGAGCTGGCCACGCAGGATTAAAAATCAAGTAGAGCATTAGGGAAAACTGGGTAGTCACATGTAGAAGAATAAAAGTATATCCTAGCTTTCACTCTGCACAAAAAGTTAAAAATGAATCAAAGATCACAACTTAAGACCCCAAATGGAAACTTATAGAGGAAAGCCTAGTGAAACTACTTCAAGATTTAGGAGTAGGCAAAAATTTTCCAGAAAGTACTTCAATGGTTCACTAAATAATCTCAAGAAACAATAAATTACATCTAATTAAACTGAAAACTTCCTTCACAACAAAGGAAAAAATTATCAGAGTGAAGAGACAACTTACAGAATGGGAGAAAAATTTCACAACTATACATCTGACAGGGGATTAATATCAAGAACATATAAAGAACTACTAAAATTAAACACTCTACCCCAATTTATCCAATTAATTAATAGGCAAATTCATTAAACAGACACTTCTCAACAAAAAAGAAATGGTCAATAAATAGTTGTAATATGTTCAATATCCTTAGCCACTAGGGAAATGCCGATTAAATCTTCATTATAATTCTATCTCACCACTGGAGGATTGGCTATCATTAAGAAAATAAATGACAATGAATGCTGGCAAGGATGTTAGGGAAAGGACCTCCCTTTCATAGTTACTGGAAATGAAAATGGGTGCAGCAACTACCGAAGTTAGAATGGAGATTCCTCAAAAAAATATTACATCAACCACATGAATGACACAGTTGTATCACTAGTGCACACATACCTGAAGGACTACTCTGTGTTACCATAACATAAGGATACTTGCATATCCATGTTTACAGCTGCTGTACTTACAATGGCCAAGATATGGAACCACCCTAGATTCCTATTAATAATTGAATAGATCAAGAAAATGTGGCAATTAGGAGAAGGAAAGGACCTAGAGCAAGGAAGTGTCCTAATCTATCTGGAGAGATAACTCAGTGTTTTAGAGTATAAGTTGCCCTTTCGAAAGATCTAGGTTTGGTTCCCAGTACCCATGTCAGGTGGCCCACATTTACCTGTAACACCAGCTCCAGGATAATCTGAAGACCTCTTCTGGCCTCCACAGGTCAGATGCAAGTATTACTCCCCACATTCACATAAATAAAAATCAAAATAAAATCTTCATGTAAAAGCACCATAATGGAACCCAATAATCTATATACCAACTTAAAAATTAAATAAATTAGTTAAAAGGCAAATGATTAAAAAAGAAAGTGTGGTATTTATATTCAATGGAGTTTTAAAAGATTTATTTTTATGTATGAGTGTTTTTCCTGAAGGAATATAAGTGTACTATGTGTGTGCCTTGAGCCCATGGAGGCCAGAAGAGTGAGCCAGATTCCCTGAAACTAGTTACAGATGGCTGTGAAGCACCATATAGGTGTTAGGAATCTAATGAGTCCCCTGCAAGAGCAATAAGTACCCTTAAACATGAAGCAATCTCTCCAGTCCCCACAATGGAGTTTTACTTAGCCATAATGAAGAATGAAATTATATCACTTGCTAGAACTAAGTATCATGATAAGCAAAATAAGTCAGACTCAGATACATAACATGTTCTTTTTCATGCATAGAAACTAGATTTAAATATAAATTCATATTATTTCATAAACATGTGTGACATAAAAGTGAAGGGGGGCGCTGGAGAGATGGCTCAGAGGTTAAGAGCAATGACTGCTCTTCCAGAGGTCCTGAGTTCAATTCCCAGCAACCACACGGTAGCTCACAAT